CCCGCGTTGACGCCTCCGCATGAAAACTTTCTGTTGAATCTCATTGTTAAAATTTCAAATGCGCCGCTGTGACACGCGAAGAAATCTATTGATATATCCGTCGTACGTTTACTTAAAGATCGTTCTTTATACTTCAAAGGTAATTTAAAACCATCTTTTTACACCTCAAAACGCGGAGATAAAAAGCTCCTAAAGAAATATTTCTTTTATCTTCTTCCTTCTTTAAGTGAAAGTAAACTCTCTCTCAAACGAAACATATTCCGAGACAGTGTAGAATATGGTAGCTTATAGATACATGTATTTAAATAAATATGTAACAAATAACGATATTGAACTGTCATTAAGAGTTACAAAGGCTGCATACTGGAATTTTAAATCCACACCATGTTGTTAATATTAATTACCTTTACCTAATATGGTAAGAATTATGTAGACATCGCATGATATTAAATCCATATACTAATAGTTTAGAATGTGAAAAAAACATGTTCTTTTTGAAGAATGTTTTTCACTTTTTATCTAATTATTAAGTGACTTATAGATATGAAGTATAGAGAATAGGAGGCCGAACTAGGTTTTGAAAAGTGTGGTCAAAATCAGGTTTCTGAATTGGTATTGGTGATGCTCAGTAGGCGGCGCTCAAATCGCAAAACTCCTCTCATATACGCTTACGCGCACATAACCTAAGAATAGAGACGTTATTCTTTACGACATCATGCTCTAACAGTAACGGGAAAACGCAAATTGTTATTAAAACATGGAACATTCTTCATGTAAAATAAAAGAATGGTATGGTTAAAGTCACTAGATTAACAAAGTTCCTCGATGAGAAAATTTACTGAATTAACATTTGGAGTCAAAATGGCGTCGAACTGCTATCCCAATCTGATTCTGTTAAAAGATCGGAAATCCATACAGGAGTCTGAAAAAGGAAGAACCTGATTCTGTTATCGAAAATATCTGGTTGCTGTGTTGAAAATTGCAAAAACCGCAGCAAAAAAGGCTGAAGTTTTGAATAACCATACATCACGGGGCCAAAATGGCGGCAGTTCGCGGAACTTTGTTAATCTAATGACTATAGGTGTGGTGGAACGAAAGCGACATCTCGATTGAACTAATTCAGGTAGCCACTTTTGATCACGCTTTTTGACGGCTTCGTCCATGTAGTTCGGCCTCCTATTCTTTATACTTCATGCTTATAGATTTGCGTACACATGCTCGGACCATTCCGGAAGCACACTATCAGCACTATTGCGGCTTTAGTTATAAAGTTCAGCAGAGAAAGCAGTTCAAATGTTGTAAAATTCTTCGATATGATTGATTTAAACATGAAAAGAATTTTTTCTTTGAGTTTATTCTGAAAATATGATAGTTGTGGGATAACATATTTTAAGGAATTTTAATGTAAATTTCTCTTATTCATTAATAAAATTACAATAAAATATAAAATAAATTGATTAATTTTACTGAAATGCATAGTAAAAATCTTTAAAATATTGTACCACAACTATTATATGGTATTTTCAGAGTAAATTTTAAAAGATAATTCTCTCTGTGTACATTTAGATCCATAAGGAATCAAAGACTAGAAGTAATCATATTAAAGAATTTTACAACAATTGCGAAGTTGCTTTCTCAGCTAAATACAATCATTGGCCTTATATACATTTCTCATACAAGCACACCAATATTGAATCAATATCTCAGAAACGTTGAATCGTAACATTACGAATATTGCATCAACATCGTGAAATAGGTATAGATTTGATATCTGAGATACTTTTGAAATATCTGATAGGTAATCTACTATACTATATATATTTTATGTATTTATTTTGTGTATCTGTATCTATATCATTTTAAAAATATCTTACTCATCACAGCTATGGAGAGAGAGAAAAGAAAGATCTATTGTCATTCATTTTCGCACGTTTAATGTGCGATTACGTGTTACATTTTGTGTGTGATCAACACGTGTTACACGAAAATCAAACTTTCGATTTCATCGCAGAAGTTTCTTCAAGGCGAAACCTCAAATGCTCTCCTCGAATTGTGGGTATTTCGTTCTAATAGACACATCGAGGGATAGAATCGTAAATATTACTGGCCTGCGAAGAAAGATCGTAGAAAATCCGCTGTATACATGTGTCCGTAAACACGAACCGCACAAAGTTTTCAGTTTACGGCTCGAAATCATATCGAAAAAGCAAATACTCGATGCATATATCAGTTTAACATCCTTACGTGATAAAACTATAAATGTTATCTCCGTATAAACAAAAAAATATCTATTGCGTAAAAGACTGATTTATACCTGCATTTTCATTTGTCTCGGAATGTTTGTCTTCCTTTAACTTTAATTATTCAATTAATTTTATCACGATAATAATTAGAATGAGGAGATTCAGACTACAGGTTTTTACGGAGAGGTGAAACTAAAAGTTACTCTGTTAAATCAATAAAATTCAATAAATAATTGCACAAAGGTACTTCAATGTTCATCAAATAGGTAAAAAATAAATTAAACTAAGATTAAAGTTAATCTACGTTGGTAGAAATTGGTTTAAAAGATCCTCAAAACTTCCAAGAGTTCAGGCAGTTCCAAACAATGCTGTATCAAAACGTCATTGAGTAAACTACGAAAATCGTGCAGTTATTATATTATCGTCGAACGAGCAATCTTATTATATTATCGTCGAACGAGCAATCTAATCTACGGACAAAATCCACATGATAGAGATACAAAGACTGTAAAATAAAATGTACTTGAGATAACAAATATTGTGATTTCTCTCTGCAATCACGTAACACGTCTGTTGTCTTCAGGTTAAGCAGGAGCTTATAATCCACGTCGTGCTCAATAAAAACGCGACCGAAGAAAATGTTCCATTTTCGTATCTAGAACCGTAGGCCCGATATTCTCATTGTACATTCAGCGCTAGACTTTGTCTTTTTCCTCTTTCTCGTACATATCGTGCAAGTTCAGATGTGAAATAGAAGAGTAACGATCGATAACAATCGATCGTATTTAATCTCGAATAAATAAAGCTTCATCTTCTTCAACAATTCAATTCAACTTCTCAATAGGAGTATCTGAAAAGTCGCGTATACTATACGCGACTGTTATATTTAAAGAAAAGGATATACTAGTGGCAACCATATAGTGGTGACAACTACATAACATATAGTTTTATATCTACAAGCATATATTATGAACTTTATATATATATGTATATGTATAACTATAAGTGTGTGTGTGTGTGTATATATATATATATATATATATATATATATATATATATACGCGCGCGCGCGAGTGTG